GCTTTACATATAGGTGAACAACTATAAGAATTACGGCTGATTTCTCATTGCAACTGAAGAACCAACTCCAACTGGTCCTGTCCTGTTTCTAACAAGACCTGAACCAAAGTTTAAATCTTGGATACAGCACCAGAGATGAGCACTGGTGAACCCTTAACAGCTCTCTCTGACCCTCTACCCTGCACACACACAGCAGAAACAAAGAACTGGGACATGACCAGAACCCAGACGAACACTGCAACCCTTTCAGAAGCGATGGGTCCATTATCCAGGAAGAGCCAGTGCTGAGACCCCTTAAATCTTGTCCCAAACCCTGGACCAGAAAGACAACTTTGAGCCTTGCCTCCTGTCCCCTTGATGGTAGATGCCACAATGAAACATTTGTTTTTTTTTTTTCTTCTCTCAAAACCCGGTGCCATAGTTTCATCTTCTGAGACAACAGAATGGCACACTGGGAAGTTTCAAAGGAAGTACAAGCTACCTACCCACCCAGAACTATATATCCAGCAAAAACATGAATGGAACGAAGGTGGAAAAAAAAATGAAAGTAAAATGAAAACTCAGAGAACCTGTTACCAGGCTGAAAGGAGTAACACATGGAAAAACTATGGGAAAGAAATAAGAGCATCAGAAATAGAAAAAAATAAAAAAGGTAAATTTAAACTATTAAAAGTTTAAAATGTACAATATACATATAAAATACATATATAAATAATTTCTTTGATTCCTTTAAAATATTGCTTACAGGAAAAACTACAACACTGTACTGTGGGATTAATAATACATGTATGCAGCATACACATGGAAAAATTACCGTGCAGGATAGGAAGGGTAATGAAACAACGTGGTTGCAAGACTATAACACATATATGGAAGTCATACAACATTAACTCTGAGTAGGCTATGACAAGTCAGGATATCAAACACTGTAATTCCTAAAGTAATCACCAAAATAATGTTAATAGTACAAATAGTTATGGGCAAAAGCCAATATAAGTATTAAAAGAGAATATTGCAAAATATTCTATTATCCCAAGAGAAGGCAGAAAAGGAAGAATAGCAGAATATCAGATAGGACAAATAAAAAAATGACAGACTAATTCCAATCATATCAATAATTACACTATATATATATATATAAATAAATAAATACACTATATATAAATAAAACACAGCCAAAGGCAAAAATGGTCAGATTGCATTAAATAAAAATACCCAACTATATGTCGTCTATAAAATACTCACTGGGAAGAAAAGATGGGAAGGTGTTGTATCAGTTTGCTAGGGCTTCCATAACAAAATCCCACACACTGGGCGGCTTACACAACAGAAACTAATTTTCTCAGGGCCCTGGAGGCCAGAAGTCTGAAACCAAGATGTTGACAGGTTTCCTTCCTTCTGAGGTACCTTTCCTTGGCTTCCAGATGGCTGGCTTCTCCCTGTGTTCTCAGTCTTTTTTCTGTGCACATGCATCCCTGGGATCTCCAAATTTCCTCTTCTTCTAATGACACCAGTCAGATTGAATTGGGGGCCACCCTATTGGCCTCATTTCATCTTAATTAAATGCCCTAGGGCCTTCTCTTTAAAGGCCCTATCTTCAAAAACAGTTAACTTCTGCATTGCTAGGGGCCAGGACAACTGGGCACTAGTTCTTCAATGAATGGGGGGGGGGGGAGGGGCACAATTCAGTTCATAACAGACACATACAGTGAAAACAGTAAGCAATATGGGCGTACTATATTAACACCACACAAAATACGCTTCAACTCAGGAGCACTGCCATAGGAAAGGGGAACATTTTATGATTATAAAAGGGCCCATTCATAAGGAAGACATAAAGGTCATAAATGTTTGTTTCTAAAAACAGCCACAAAACAAATGAAGCAAAACTTGACAAAACTGAAAGGAGAAACAGACAAGTATAAATTTTAGTTGGAAATGTGCATACCCCTCTCTCCACAACTGATTTGCAAGTAGACAAAACATCAGCAAGGATGGAGATAGCTGAGCCACACTAGTGATGAACTGCATATAATTTACATTAATGAAACACTAAATCAAACTACAGAATATAATTTCTTTACAAGTATAAATGAAATGTCCCTCTATAGGGTCCATATACTGGGCCAACAAAAAAGTGTCAATTAACTCAAAAGTCCAAAATCTTACAGAGAAAACAAATAATTGAATAAATAAATAGACTTCCAGCCAAGATGGAGACATAGATACACTGTGCCTCATTGCACAACCAAAAGAAGGACAACAAATTTAAAAACAAAAACCAACCAGAAATGACAGAAAATTGAACTGTATGGAAGCCCGACAACCAAGGAGTTAAAGAAGAAACATTCGTCCAGACCAGGAGGAGGGGCGGAGGGGGCAGCCAGGTGGAGAGGACTTGCAGCAAGGCAGTGGCTGCAGGACTGGGGCAGGCAAGGCAGCAGCTGGTGGACTGGGCAGTATCATATTCTCATGCAGATAAACTGGGAGGAACAACTGGGGAGCAAGACAGAGCGTGCAACCCAGGGTTCCAGTACCAGGAAATAAGGCCTCAAAGCCTCTGAATAAAAACTCCTTTGGGGATTTGAGGCGGCCACTGAAGAAACTCCCAGCCTCACAGGAAAGTTTGTTGGAGACACCCACAAGGTCCTAGAACCTACACAAACCCATCCACCTGGGAATCAGCACCAGAAGGAACCAATTTGCTTGTGGGTGGCAGGGGAAGTGACTGAAAACCAACAGACAGTACAAAAAGTGGCATTGTTCCTTCTCAGACTCCTCCCCCACATACAGCGTCCTAACACAGTGACTTGCCCCACCCTGGTGAACACCAAAGGCTCTGCCCCTTACTACATAACAGGTGCACAGAGACAAAAAAAAATGGCCCAAATGAAAGAACAGGTCAAAGTTCCTGAAAAAAATACAACTAAGTGACAAAGAGATAGCCAACCTATCAGATGCACAGTTCAAAACACTGGTTATCAAGATGCTCCAGGAACTCACTGGGTACTTCAACAGTGTAAAAAAGACCCAGGCAGCAATGAAGGTTGCATTATGTGAAATAAAGAAAAATCTACAGGGAACCAACAGTGATGGGAAGGAAACCAAGACTCAGATCAATAGTTTGGAGCAGAAGGAAGAAACCAAGACTCAGATCAACAGTTTGGAGCAGAAGGAAGAAAGAAACAATCAACCAGAACGGAATGAAGAAACAATTCAAAAAACTGAGGCAAGGCTTAGGAACCTCCGGGACAACTTTAAACATCTGAAACATAGGGGTGCCAGAAGGAGAAGAGGAATAGCAACAAGTGGAAACCTTATTTGAACAAATAATGAAGGAGAACTTCCCTAATCTGGCAAGGGAAATAGGCTTCCAGAAAGTCCAGGAAGCTCAGAGAGTCTCAAAGAAGTTGGACCCAAGGAGGAACACACCAAGGCACATCATCATTACATTACCCAAGATTAAAGATAAGGACAGCATCTTAAAAGCAGCAAGAGAAAAGGAAAGAGATACCTACAAAAGGAGTTCCCATTAGATTATCAGCTGATTTCTCAAAAGAAAACTTGCAGGCAAGAAAGGGCTGGAAAGAAGTATTCCAAGTCAGGAAAGGCAAGGACCTACATCCAAGATGACTCTATCCAGCAAAGCTATCATTTAGAATGGAAGGGCAGATAAAGTGCTTCCTGGATAAGGTCAAGTTAAAGGAGTTCATCACCACCAAGCCCTCATTATATAAAATTTTAAAGGGACTTATCTAAGAAATAGAAGATAAAAAATATGAACAGTAAAATGACAACAAACTCACAGGTATTAACAACCAAACCTAAAGAAAAAAAACCCAGAAAACTAAGCAAACAACTAGAAGAGGAACAGAATCACAGAAATGGAGATCACATGGAGGGTTATCAGTGGAGGAGTGGGAGTGTGGCGGGGAGGAAGGTACAGAGAATAAGTAGCATAGATGGTAGGTAGAAAATGGGGGGGGGTAAGAATAGTATAGGAAAAGTAGAAGCCAAAGGGGTGCTTCATACATACAAGGCATACTTGTATGTATGACCCATGGACATGAACTAAAGGGGGAATGTGTGTGGGAGGGGGTGTGCAGGGTGGAGGGGAGTGAAGGAGGGGAAACGGGACAACTGTAATAGCATAATCAATAAAATATATTTTAAATGAATGAATGAATGAATAAGAGTCCCACCTCTCAGGCAGAATAATTCCTAATAATTCATGTTGATAGTCTGTTCTCAAGGAGGGCAGCACTGACCTCACTGTACGCAATGACTTCCTTCCCAACGGTACAGCATGGAAAGGGTTACGAGGGAGTATCTTTACAGAGTAAAAATCTGACAAACACTACCTTGGCCAGGTGATTAAGGTAAACATCAAAATCAACATCAGTACTTCAAATGAAATAGCCATATTGATAGTATGTGCACTTGATGTGATGAATAGTTTGCCTCTATGGTCTCTCCCTCCCAATAACTCTAACTCCACTCTAATCATGACAGAACATCAAATTCCAGTGGAGAGGCAACCTACAGAACACCTGACCAGTATTCCACAGAACAGCCAAAGTCATCAGAAAAAGAACAGTCTGAGAAACTGCCACAGCTAAGAGGAGCCTATGCAGCCGTGACAACTAAATGTACTGTGGTACAGAATGGGACTGGGCATTGTGGGTACTAGGCTAAATGTAAGAAAATCTGAATAAACTCTGGACCTTAGTTAATAATAATATATTAATATCAAGAGATAAATGGATAAAGATGTGGTCTATATACACAATGGAATATTAGCCATAAAATAGAATAAAACCTTACCATTTGCAACATGGATGGACCAAGAGGGTATTATGATAAGTAAAATAAGTCAGAGGAAGACAAATATATGATTCAGCATATATGTGAAACCTAAAAAAACAGGAAAAAAAACTCATGCAGAGAACAAATTGATGCTAGCTAGATGGGAGGGGAAGGGGACTGGGAGAAAAAGGTGGGAGCAATTAACAAGTACAAATTACCAGTTATAAAAACAGTCAGAAGGATGTATAGTACAGCGTAGGGAAGACAGTGACACTGTAAATAGGTAGGTATGGTGCCAGGTGAGTTCTAGACTTACCAGGGTGATCACTTTGTAAGTTATACACATTTCTAATGACTATGTTGGACACCTGAAACTAATATAATATTGTATATCAACTATAATTGAAAAATAAATGTAAAGAAAATAAAACATAAAAAAGTGCATGATAAACATATGTAAAAGGCAAGGAAACTGGAAGGTATTTGCGACATTACTCCTGTAACTCACTAAAAAACCCCAAATGGCCCGGGAGGCAATCAGGCAGAGAATATACACTGGGTGCTTTACCAGTGAGGAAGTGCTAATTGTCAATATATACATGGAAAAAAACACCCAGACCCATTAGCAATCACAGAAAAGCTCCTGAAAATAATAACATAATATTTTTCACTCAATAAATTAAGAAAATTTGTCAAGAGAGTCAAGCGCTGACAAAGATGTGGAAAATAGGAACTTCTGAATACTGCTAGCAAGGCTGAAAAACAGAACAGCCATTCCGAAAACAATTTAGCTCCTGTTGACAGGAGATGCACGTTTTATTGCCCAGCAGAAGAGATGCAAAAGGCTGCTCCCTGCAGCAGTTTTTATGGGAAAATGTTGAATATACCTAAATGCCCACCAACAGAGAAGAATAAATACACAAAAATGCCATATTTTTTCAACAGAACACAGTGGTATTAAGTAAATACACGTATACATATCAAAATAAGAGCCCCAAGATAAAATAAGTAAAAATAAAGGATACAGACAGCTTGAAGATATTTATGTATATTTTTAAAACATCAGAATAATACTGTGTCCTTATGACACCAGGCGGAAGCGTAAAGAACGGATGGACACGCACGCAGACTCGCTCAGCGGGCGCCTCCGCAGAGCACGAGCGGGCGCAGGGCTGCGGGGAATTATTATTAATAATAATTAATATTATTATTAATAATAATAGATGGGAATGCATCTATTATTATTATTCGTCCTTTTCAGTTGTTTTGTCCAGTTTTCATTTGCAGTGTACTTCCCCGGTGCTCAACCACACGTTCTGTCCCAAACTGGCAGGAAAGCGGCTGGTGCTGGACACACAAACCCTAGAATGCCACCCTGCACCTGCGGCTTCAGTGATGCTCAAAGTAAATGTTGACTAGACATGGTTTTAGCCTTAACTGACACACTTTAGCGTTAATTCTTTTAGAAGTTGAGACTCAGAACATTCATCAACATGCGAACTGAAAAGCAACTGCATGTAAAACATGTCTTCATTTAGGTAGGATTTTTAAGGGCCTAATCATATGTACAAAATTAAGTTAACCAAAATCCCTTTCTCCACTGCCATCTGGTGGGAAAAAGAGGCAACCTCGTCTGTGCCTTCCACAAAAGCTCACATCTGCAGTTATTAGAGTGCCATTTCTCTTTAATGAAGCACACACTTTTATTGAGGTTTCTGTGCAGTACACTGGTACCTGTTCACTTTCTTCAGAGCTGTCCTCACACTAAACCTTTCAGCCTACGGATTAGATAAGAAAGAACTTTATCTTTTCCTGGTTGGATTCCTTCTTCAATGTTTTCAAATCTAGTGATGCTTTAACTTCCTCCTCACCAGATCATTCTGCACCCTAATTTTCATTTATTCACATTTCAAACCTTCTAGAGTGAACAATTCCAACAGCTGATTTCTATATTAAAAATTAGTGTCATTTTTATATAAACTTACCAATGGTAATAAGCACTTTTCATTTAAAGGACTTTTAAAATATGCCATATTGGCACTATAAATACGCAGTGGGAATTATAAATAGTCCCGTTTTCCAAGCACTGAATGGAAATAGCACAAAACATACAGTATCTTAACAAGAGCCAATAAAATAAGCTAGATTTTTCAGACTTTAGAGAAAAGTATCAACATAAAAGAAAAAAACATAATCAGGTTATTAATCCCCCAATTTGCAATACTGAGTTCCTTCACCCATTTACAATCCAGAGATATAACTAAGCAGAGCAGTACAAATACTCTGGAAAATGCCAACTGCACTCAGACAAAAGTCAATTCTAAATGGTTTTCCATTAGTGTTTTATGTGGCTATGATTCCCTTCAAGCTTTAACACCTGTTACAGTAAAAAGCTTTTTAACTGTTTCCAAATCAGCGATAGCAGAGGATGAAAATAAATAAAGTCAAAGGCACTCCCTCCCTCAGAGGCTCAAAACAGTTAGATTTTTAGCAAGTTTCAGTCACTCCATTTAGATGATCCTGTAGGTTCATGCAAATGCATTGAATTGTTGGTTTAACTTCTCTTCCTTCCTCAAAGTTTATAATGAAGAGACTAATCCCTGTGTTGGGACTGACTGATGTAAATTCAGATGTGCTCACAGTTGCTGGTAAGGAACACTTAAGGTCAGTCAGAAAATAATTGAACAGGCTTCTCATGTAGGCACCATGACTCACAACTAAGACACTGGCTACTAATTCTGGAGCACTGCTGTCTGAATTAAATTTGGAGGCACAGTTTTTTTCTAAAGGGAATATCTCTGCCAAAGAAGTTTCCAAACTGTTGCTTGAAGTTTCTGAGGAAATTGGTTCTTTTTGATCTGCCTCCTTCAAGATCAGTTGACAAAGAAATTCAAAAAAGTCTGTTCCACGCATCTTCACCTACAAGAAAAGGTGCAATAAGTGAGATTAACGTCTGTCTTAAAACAGAAACATAAAACCTGATTGGATTTTTCCTATTTTGTCAATATAAGTACCATATGAGTAGATGAAACACTGTATTCCTATTCTTTCAATCAGTACTTCTATGGACATTAGTGAGGGTCCACCATATTTCTGGAATTATGGAAGCACATTGGGGACAAAGATGACTAAGGTTCAATTCCTACTTCCTGACTCAAAGCACTCAGAGACTAGTTAGAGAAGTCTGCAAGTAAACAGAAAACCACAAAATAGTATTAACTGCAAAACTACATCTGACACTTCAGTTTACTTAGAACAACAAGGAAAAAAACCTTTCCTTTACTAAATTAATAGAAAGTCTTTACAAAAAAATTATGAAAATAATGAACAAGGGGGAAAATCACCAATAATACAATTTGAAAGCAGAACGATCCAAAGAAATGCAAGCATGGTAATGCTGTCACAGAGCCGGAGAGGCAGCAGAGGCCTGAGGATTTCATGGCTTGAATTATTTTGTCTGTCATCCTCCCTGAACATCACCACTTGCTTTACTGACTACCACTACCATTGCTGAAGTTACTGCTTCATATTCAAAGAGTTTTCTGAGCAGTTACATCCAATAGCACACATCCTTTAAATCCACTATCAGCTATGACTGCCAACTTAATATTGTCAATGAGAAAGCGAGGGTAGCTTAAAAAGAAAAAAAAATGGTATCATGCAGAGCTGTTTTATAAACCAAACAACTTTCAAACTGCTACCTAAAATTTAGGAACATCTAATATACCAAAAAAGGTCAGATTTCAGCTACAATGATACTGGCAAGTACAACAGCATGCCCCAGGGCTACGTACCTGGTCTAAGGTCTCTCCTCCAGGTGGTGTGTACCCAGGTATTTCTTCCCCAGCTGCTTTGGCCATTGCCCTTAGCTCACTCAGCCCCTTGCCTTCTGCAACCCCATATTTCTGCAATGGTCCAATAAACAAAAGTGTCTCCAGTGAATTTGCAATACAACAATTAAATACAATCACGCCAGGAAGTGTGGTTTCTTTCTACTTACCTTATTACATCTCCTCTGAACTCATAATTCCCCACAATGATAATAGATTACTTGCATAATAAAATATTGAAAGAGAAAAATCATTATGTATGGTATGCATTGATGAAACCAGAAGATTCTGACAATACCATCAGAGTCCAACAGTGAAATATTTTTATAGGAGCATATGCATTTTTTTTGCCAGGTGCTCTTACAATCCTCAAGTCCAACTCTTACATCCTCAATTATATCTGGAGCAACCTCTATTACAGAGAGGAACATTAATAATCATCACTTGCTCTGTTTGTTCAAGAATGGAAACATCCATTGGTTAAATATTCCAAATGCTAAGCTGAAGCACATTAGGCAATAAGGCCAGAGAAGTGAAGGAAAGCAGGTGACACGTGGCTCCCTGTCCCCGTGGAGATCACAGTGCAGTGGGGACACTAACCTAGGAACAGTAGTGGAAAGGTGCTGTGATGGAGGGAAATACCGGACAGAGACACATACAGCAGAGACTTCCAATCTGGATTTGAGGATCAGAGAAGGCCAAAGCCTCAGGGTGAGTGGAACTGGGCCAGGTCTGGGGAGCAAGTATTCTGGGGAGAGTAGAGGCAGATTCAGAAGCTCAGTGAGGAAAGAGCACAGGCTGTTTGGGCAACTCCAACATGCTCGAGAGGCTTATGACCAGGGGTCCAAACATGGGACTCCAGAGCCAGATGGCCTTGACTTCAATCCGAGCTCTGCCACAAACTAGCTCTGTGATCCTGAGCATGGACTTGATTTCTGTGTGCCTTCATTTCTGCACCTGTAAAATGGGTGCTAAAACATGATGTTTTTAAATCTTCACATTTGGTTGTTGTGAAAATTAATAAACTTGCACCACTTGGAACAGGGCCAGAAAGTGGTGAGCACCACAGAAATGCTCAATCATCTTCTTCTCAAACTGGCCACCACACAAGGGAAAAGGAAGGAGGCAGGTGGAAGCAACAGATCCAATCACACAGCACAATGAGAGATGGCCAGGTCAGAGCATGGACTACCTTTGAAGATACAGGAGAGGAGAAGTAGCAAACTGTTTTATACAGGTGTGCAGCAACCAAATTTTCCAAAGATTACTCTGGCTTGCAGTATGGACATTAGATTGGAAAAGAAAGTGCAGTGAAAACAGGAAAATCTAGGTGACAGGTGACAGTGATGTAGGTGACAGATGACAGTGGACTGCAATAGGATGGCAGCAGTTTGCAAATCAATGAAGGATTCAAGAACCATTTAGAGGTGGAACTGACCAGATGATGACAGATGTGTGGTGTGAGAGACAGTAAAGAATCAAGAATGAATGGTCTGAACAACTGGATAAAGCAGGAGCCAAGTGGAGAAAGAAGTGTAGTCCACTGAGCGGGAAGTGGCTGTGGGGCATTCAAACAGGAATAAACAGTAGGCAGCTTGATACATATGAGTGTGTAGCTCAGGTTAGAGACTTAAGCTAAAAGTACCTATTTGAAAATCATCAGTTCATTAACTAAAATCCTAAGAGAGGGTGAAATTCCTCAGAGAAAGAACTCAGAGAGAGAGATGTCCCAGCCTGATGATAAATAATGCTTGCAACTACTGAGTGATAATAGGTCCTGTTTGCTGTTCACTGAACTCAGAACATTTTTGTTTAACATTTGAGCAATGGTTCTCAGGCACAAAATGAGCCTTTCCAAGTAGCATTTATACTGGAGCTTTAGTGTGTGTTTACGTGTGCACACACACACACACACACACAACTATAACAGAGAACACATGCAAGTTAAGAAAAGGAATTTTTTAAAGATGCACTAGCCAGCCCTGGCTGGTGTGGCTCAGTTGGTTGGAGCATCCTCCTGTACACTAAAAGGTTAGGGTTCGATTCCCAGTCAGGGCACATACTTAGGTTGCAGGTTCCAGCCCTGGTAGGAATGCATATGGGAGACAGCCAATCTATGTTTTTTTCTCTTTCCCCCTTCCTCTTTCTCTAAAGTCAATAAATGTATTTTTTTTAAAAAAGATGCCCTAGCCATGCTGTTACATTTCTGCCCAGGTACAGAAGAAATCACAGGACTGACAGGGACATTAACCAGCTTATAGGTCAGTATTATAGGTCATAATAAAAAGTCTTCTACGAGGCTTGGAGTGAAATCTCAGATATGAAATTGTGCTATGGTTTTAGCTAAATCACAGTTTCAGAAAAATTCATTGCTGCTATATAAAGTGTACTATTTATGCTTAAAGTCAGGGAGTAGAACTGGGAAGCTGAGGGAGAGAGCTTTTCAATTTTATTTTAAACTCTTCTGTTCTGTGTTAAATTCTTATAAATATACCTTGCTTTTATAATTTAGATGTATATGATATGATTTTAATAATTAAATAAGATACCATGTATGAGAGTTTGTGACAGTGACTGTTACATCACAGATTCTTAATGAATGTTGTTAGCTCTTTTCATATCCCTAGCAGGAATGAATTTTTAGTCATGTGATAACTTGAGGTGGTTATTGATACCTTTTGGCAAAGAATAATACATAAATCACTTACTCTTTCTCGAAGTCTTGAATCATACTTTATTGTCATGTCTTGGCAAAATTTGCTCTTCTCCAAAATCCCATGCACAGTCTGAAAAATCAAAAGACAATTGTTTCTCTTCTCATAAAAATAATCATTCTGGCCAAAATAATACATAGCTTCTTAGTAAATAAAAAATAACTAGATTTAATTTTTCTTTGAGAAATTTGCCTCTCTTTGCACTGCTAGTCCTTTGTCTCTTCATACCCGATTTTCATATTTCCTTCTAACATAACTTCTAGTTCAGAAGTCAGCAAACTACAGCCTACAGGCCAAATCCAGACCATGGATTGTTTTTGTAAATAAAGTTTTATTAGAATGCAGCCATTTATGTATTATTTATGGCTGCTTTCAAAGTACAACAGCAGAGTTGAACAGCTGTGACCATATGGACCACAAAAAAAAAAATTTACTATCTCATTTTTTACAGAAAAGGTTCTAGTTCATTAATTCTTCATTTAGGTATGTCAAAACTGATGTCAAATCCATCAAGTCTTAATTTTTATTTTCAGTTCTAGAATTCACATTTGATTTTTCTTTAGAGCTTCCCGTTCTCCCCTAATATTCTCCACATCTTTTACCTATGCATTAAATTATTGATTAAAGCCTGTGTGATATCTTCCATTACCATATAACTCCCATGGCTGCTTCTGCTGCCTTTATTTTTTATTCATTTTTATACACATTTCCTTCTCATTGCATGCCTGGTTATTTTTAATTGATAAGAGACATTGTATTTGCAAAACTGTAGAAATTAAGTCCACAACCTGCCTTGTTTTTTAACACTCTCCCCACAAATTAGACATTGTTCTCATTACTGTTTTGTATTGTCAATAGCTGTTTATATTTACCTAAAATTTTACCAAGTTCTTTGCTCATCATTCTTTCCTGAGACTCAGGTTTTCCTTCTGGAATTATTTTCCTTCTTCAGTTATCCTTTGAAAGTTCTTTACAGCCTATTTGTCTGAAATGTTCTCATTTCACATACACTCTAGAAAATGTTTTGCTGGGTGTAAAAATCTAGGTTAATCCTATTGTCTCCCAGCACTTCAAAGACATTATTATTGATATTGACAAATTTGTTGATAGCCTAATATTGGCCTTTAACAGATGATACTTTTCCATCTTATTCTTTGGAGTTCTACAATTTTGTTATGATAAGTGTAGATGTGGGTTTTTCTTTATCATGACTGGGATTTGTTACATTTTCTGCATCTGATAATTTATTATCTTCCAACAATTCTTTAGAATTATTAGCTTTGTCCCTGAAAAACCTTTATAAAGATTTTACACCTGTTTTATTACAGAAGTTTTATAAATTTAACTTTTAGATCAGTGCTATGACCAATCACAAGTTAATTTTTGTGTTGCGTGAGGTAAGAGTCAAAGTTCACATTTTTCCACATAGACAGCCCCATGTTTCAGCACCCTTTACAGAAAAGACAACCCTTTCAATCACTGAATTACCTGGGCACCGTGGTCAAAACCCACTGGACCAACAACATTAAAAAAAAAAATAGAACACTCGCCCCACTAGGTTCTATTTTTAAGGTCCCTCAACTTTCACTTGAGAGACAGTTTATATTTCACCTAATTTTTCAAAGAATTTGCACTGGGTATCTATTTGGAAATTTTTTTAGTCACATTATTTCCTCAAAATATTCATTTTTATTCCTCATGCCCAACTCCAACCCTCACTGCCCTTTTGGGATTTCAACTACATGTAAATTAAATCACTTGATATTGTACTGTACTTCATTGAGACTTCATCTCTTCTTCCTAGTCTTTTTTCTTTCTATAATTGTAGAATATTGTTTCCATGTCTTCATGTTTACTGGCCTCTTCTACAGTGTCTATTCTGCTGTTAATTTCCTCCTGTGAAATTTTCATTTCAGAATATTGTATTATTTATCTCTAAAAGATAAATTTTTTTGTTGTTGTTGTTGTATCTTCTATTTCTCTCCTCGCTATGTTCCTCTAAGGACAGTTTAGCCTCACTTGTTAAGGTGTGACCCAATGACAACTCTGCTGTAGGCTCTGTGTATTCAATGAAATTTCTTTACTTCAGCTGATGAGAACTCAAATTGATTCCCAAACCCCATGAGTTCTATGAATCGTTCAGCTTACAACTCCCCAGCATCTGCTCTCTCCCCTGAAGCTGTGTTTTGCCTGGCTTCATGCAGTTTCGCTCTACATATGTGCAGACCGAAAGTACACCAAAGATTTAAGGGGATTCCCTACACATATTTCTAGAGTTCTTTCTCTGTGCAGCTCATTCTTCCCCACATATTTTAGTTATTTAACCTTCCCAAATTCTAAGCTCTCTCTCCCGAACTTACTGATACCACTGGGCTCTATTTGGCTTCTCCTACCAGAGTCTGGATATTGTTTCGGCAGAAAATTCAGGACAATCCTAGGGCTCACCTCATTTGTTTTATTTCATTTGGGGATTATAAACTCACACTGCCTGAAGTCCAATATCTGAAGAGAGTGTTTCACAAATTTTGTCCTCTCGCTGTTTTTCAGGACAGGCTAACTTCCAGCCCTGTTATTCCCTCCTAGTTGTCACAAAACTTCTCCTTCCACTGAGCTTTTAATAGTTGTTTTGGTTGTTTTTTAAATCTCTGGGGTTGCTTTTATAGTCAATCTATTCTCTAAAGATATTTAAAATATTTCAAAAATGTCTTTATTTTTGCAGTAACATTGCTTGTTTTATTTAACTGCATATAGTTATTCCAGTATTTGATGTCTTTGTGAGTTAAATTCTTCTATCAGTTGTTTCTTCTGGCTCTCTCTCTCATGACACTTTCTTTGTCTTTTACTTTTATTTTACACATTTTGTTAGATTTTTTCCCAAGCTATTCTAATTTAAAAGTTACCAAGATGAAATAAAGAAAAATGAAAAAAAAAAGTTCTACTGAGGAGAGGGGAAGATTGAGGGTATTGCGTGTGTGTTTTAATTCCCTACAGATTCTGGCAGCATATTTTTCAAGGTTACAACTGCTGAAATTTTGGACTCATCACCCTAAACCTTGACTCTAAACTTACCTGCTTTGTCCTAGTGAGATCACTGGAGAAAACATGAGTGAACTTCACGTTATTTAGAAAAATACCAGCAGCAGCTGCTTGTTTAAATCCAGTTTCTGAAAGAGGCTCATCTACCCCTTGTCCTATGACAGTAACAGAAGGAACAAACCATTCAAAAATATATATAAGGTATGCAAATTAAATCACATTTAAGAGACTATAAATGCATTTACTTATATTTTATTTAACTATTTCCTTGGGTACTTTTCCACAGAAGTTTTCAGAGAACTGACAAGTAAAATTAAGCTATAATCCATTATAAAAGGCTCAAGTATTCAAATTTTCCCAAAAGAATGGGAACTGAATGATAACGAAAATTCAATTGTCTCAAGCTTTCTACTTTTTCACATCTTCCAATCCTTTTATTAGCTATAATTTATTACCAATGCTGGTTCTGATCTTATGTTCTCACCTCAGGTGTTGTGTCTGGGTGGTAGGATCATCAATTAAGAAAGTTTTTCCTTCTATCTCCATTGCCAAAATGTTCTGTATTGTACCTTTCCTTCCTCCCTCCATTTTTCTCTCCTTCCCTCCCTTCTTTCTTTTTCACTTAAAAAATACTCTGGAACCTCTATTTACAGAAGAAAGGCTGATTAGATACTCTGAAGGTTTATCCTGCTACAAAACAACTGAGAGAGAGGAAGAAAGAGAGAGATGCATTCCTGGGCTCACCGGATGTAAGGAAAATCTCCAAGAGACAAAGCAAAGCACCAAAAACCTTGAGCTGAAACCCAAATATTTCAGCTATCCTATAAGGAAGGTAACGTATTGTAGTTTCAGGTCAGTAGTAAAATCAAATGTAAATCCTCCTCAAAGCAAATCATTCTTCAAAGCAATCATAAAGGGTAACTAGTTTTCTACTAATTTAGAGCAAATAGTTTAACCAAAGACTTAACACACAAGAAATTAATCCATCATGAATGAAAATCATGGAAACAATAAGTAACAGACTTAGAACCAATAACACTTCTGACACAGAAATAAAAATATAGACTATAACATAAAGACAGCATCACAAAAAATAAGCAAATAACACAAACTCATCAAAAACTATCAGAAAGCTTTCTACAAGAACCAAATAGAACATTTAATAATGAAAAATAGAATTGCTGAAGAAGAAACTAATTTCCTCAATGGATAAAGGAAGGTCCAGCTGCAGGGAGGCTTAATAGACTCAAAGACAGGCCTGAAGTCATTACCCAGAGTGCAGCATGAATACATATGGAACATATCTCTGATGCACTAGAGACATAACAGAAAGAATGAGAATTACCAACTTGCATCTAATTGGAACTCCAGAAAGAGAAGGAAAAGTGAAGGAGAGGAAATATGAAGAGATAATGATTGAGAATTTTCCAGAAATCTTCAAATAAAGGAAACAGAATGTACATTAAGCAAAATAAATATTTTTTAAAATTCCTCCTAGATATATTAAGATAAACTGTAGAATACCAAAAGCAGTTTTAGAGAAAGACAAATTACCTACCAAGGAACATCATTTAGCTGAGAGAAGACTTCTTACAGAAACAGTAAAAGTCAAAATGCAATAGAGAATAGCATCTGCCAAATGCTAGGAGCACCGTCAGTCTAAAATTATCTAGACCAAAAGAAATTAAATAGTATAAAAACAGAATTGTCTACAACAGACATAACTGAAACCATCCTTATACCATCAACTAATCTGCACCAGGGGAACTTTCAAATATGGGGCAGGGGGTGCAGGAGTTAGGGGGTGGAGGGATTGAGAAAAAAAAAAAGGACTCATGGACATGCACAATAGTGTGGCTATTGCTGGATTGGGGGGAGGTGGGTATAAGGGGGTTAAATGGTAAGGGAAAAAATACAATAAAAAATAAAAAAGATATTTCAGGAATGAAGAAAGTCTGGGATACAAAAGAAATGATGAGGAACTGGTAAGTATATATGTAAATGTATATAAACAGTGTCTCGATAACAAATTAAATAGCTACATCCTATGGTTTTAAAAGATACGATTAAGATACTAAACAAAAGTATCAAAAGTTCTTTGTATTTTTCAGGAGATGGGATGTTAATCCTATACTTTATTAGGTATGAATGGTAAAAGTTCAAAGGACAATTTTAACCATTAAAAGAACAAAAATTGGTTTATCATTACAAAGCCAGTAGGGAAGATAAGAAGGTGTTGTATAAGGGGGGGAAAAGCAGCACTTAAGAAGTAAAAGCAAGTAAAAATAAATAAATAAAAACAACAACAAAAAAAGGAAAATTAGAAAAAGAAGAGAGAACAGAACACCAAAGGAAGGCCAAATATATCAGTAACCAGTAATCAGAGTAAAAGTAAATAGACTACTCTTGCCAATTAAAAAGCAGATTCTATTTTTTAAAAGAATCAAAATCAGTTACTCAGTATTTATAAGTTGTAACACTTAAGACATCAGTTCACAGAAAGGTTAAAAGGAAAGGAATGGAAAAATATATACCTGACAAATTGCAACCCCCAAAATAGCTGGAGTAGCTATATTACTCTCAGAAATGCAGGACTTATAGACAAAAGTCTTAGTACGGACTGTGACGATCACTGTAAGTAATCAGTGATCCAATTCACTAGGAATATATAACAATTTTTAAAGTGAAATGTGCCTAATAAAATAGCCTCTAACTATATAAAAGTAAGACATACAAAGCACACATTATGCAACTTCAGGTATTAAAGAATAAATTGGCCATCCCAGTCAGAAATTTAACATATTTCATTTATAAGTTGATATTTAGATCATGCAGGCAATAAGTAAATTTTCAAAATTAGTATAGAAGATTTGAACAAAAAAAATCAAGGTTGATTATTTGATATGTAACTCCACACCCAACAATTAGAAAACACAGATTTTTCTCAAACACTCAATGGTAGATTCACAAAAATAGACCATGTTAAATATCAAAGAAGTATCACCAAGTAAACCACTGTCAAGATACAAGCCATCACTTGGATGGCTGGACGGAAGTCAGTCATAAAAGATGAAGCACAGCAATAACAAAGCAAGCCCAGTCACTGGGGAAATTAGTAAACAGTTCTAAGTAACTCAGAGATCAATGAAGAAATCATAATGGAAATTTCAGATGCTTGCTTCTGAATACTTATCAAAATTGTAGGTATGCAACCAAAACAGTACTTAAAAATACATAAGTCTGCCATGCTTTAAAAAAAAAAGGTTATAACTTCAAGAACTAAGCATCTAACTTTTAAAATTAGAAAAAGAACACAAAAGAAACCTAAAAAGAAAAATAAGTATGAACACAAAAACCATGGTCCACTGTCAACTTGTAACATATGAGACAAATGAGCAGCACCGAAGGACAAGGTAGTCGGGGACAAGAGTCCAAACAATAACTCAGGGTGGCTGCAAGAACTGGAAAACAAAAGACCCATTATCCGACTAGAACCCAGTAGAGGCAGTCAGGCACACTGGGCATGAAAATCATTTTCTGACAACCTCAATCTCCAAACCAAAAAAATAAAGCAAAATGCTTTTATAATCACAGCACAGAAATAGCAGGTCTAACTGAAAGTTCACCAAAATATTCTTTCAAAGACAGACGAGCCAGGCCATAGGGAGATTAAAAGATCTGAGCCCAAATTAACACAAGGGAGAGGGACCTGTTCAGAATAAAGTAAGCATCCATGTTAGAACAGTTCTCTTTTTTAATCCTCTTTGTTACTACTAAAATTAAAATATCTTAGCAGAAAAATACCATTAACATCAGCCAGTAAACTTCATGGTTCCAAATATAAAATCATCTTAGATCCAGGCAGTTGTATTTTAAGACAGTTTAATCAGCTGCCCACTTTACATCACTTTAAAGCTACCCAGAGGCCACAGAGAACACCATCCTTTACATCCAGTTCACGTAAGAGTCCTCTTGGTCACCATCTGCTCTGGTCCTATTTCTGTGACTAAGATGCTTTATTTTGTAATCCCAACTCACAGTACAGGCCTGCACCCCGTCCACCCTACCCCACCAGGCCCAATTAACTCACATATCACATGAACACTAAAGGAGAGAGGGAAAAATAATAATATACCAACCTTGAATTATTTTCTCCTTGTTTAATCTTGTTTGTCCACTAAAGTAGAAAGGGTAGGAAAAAAAACCTTTAGTACCAAATTGGGTTATTTTTAAGAGAAAAAAAATCAGCAGTGAAAGGTAAAGATAGCAAGCATATGAACTTATGTAACATACTTCATAATCTAACCTGTAAAATTTATTCTAAATTAATATTTATAATCATTTAACGTACTTAATTGACAAGCTAAGAATTTCACCCTGCCCAAATTAAAATGTATAGGCCAGGAATCAATCTTAAGTGAATTATAGGTGGGAAAGAAATGTATATGTATATTATTTTTTGTTAAATATTCTTGTTAAAATAAGTATGTTGACCAAAATAATCTTCACAGGCAGCAGGACCTAAACAGGAGAGTCAGCCTGTCCACTGCTGAACGGAATGAGTGAGTGGACCGAGCGGGAACGCAGCACACAAACCTTCAGACTCCACCCAGCCTCTCCTAGGCCCTGGCTCTTCTCAAGCTGTTCCATTTTGTAATGCTGACAACTATCTTGCAGACCATGCTAAAGAACTGAGGTTTGGCTAAGACATTTAAGAATTAAAAAACCAAACCAAACCAATTTTGAAGCAACCAGAAGGGTGAAAGGACTGGAAACTTGGTCACAAAATCAGTCCATTGAGGCTGGAGGGGAAGAAGGCAGGGTTACTGGGACAAGACTGAATGCCAGGGTAGAACCACACTTGAAGCCGTCATCACATACACAAAAGCTTATCAAGGAGAATTCAGCTGACACTTCCTTGAGCTCTTTCTTTGTGCTAAGTACAGTGCAAGGCACTGGAGACACAGAGATGCTCAGCGGCTGCCCTTGAGAAAGGAATTGGTTTGTTCTGTGTGGATACTGGGCACAGAATTGGGCATGGGAGATAAAAATAGTAAACAGGTTTCTTCAGAACAAATTTTCTCATTTGGAATCAAATGTCTACAGCCCCTATTTGCATCCTTCTATGTCAATGAGAGGTGAAAATCTTTGAAGTAAACTCCATTGCCATATATCAGGCTCAGAAACAAAACTGCTTTGGCTCTACAGAGCTGGGTTTAGCTCCAGTGCTTCAGCCCTTCCTCTGTCAAATGAGGACAGTAACAGTCTCCAACTCACATGACTCTTGTGATAACTGAGTGAATACAGTTAAAGTGTTTAGAATACAGCTTAGCTTTTCGTAAGCACAAAAGAGTTGTAAAAGCTTTATAAGCTTGGACAGAGCTTTATAGAAATTAAAGATTTAACTTAATGCATTTCTTTAATCTTTTAAAAACTGTGAAGTAAACAACACAAATAAAGCCAACCCATATAACCCCTCCCCCCATGTTAATAGATCACTGCCACCCTGCTGGACCCTTTTCCAACCACCATGTCCTCCCTCCCCTAGGGGATCCACTACCTGTTCATTTGAAAGTTCATTTGCCTCTCTTCATAGCTTTCCCACCCATGTAGGGCATAGATTCGCTTAGCTGTTGTTGAACTTTATACTGAATTGCTTCTTACTATAGGTAGTCTTCTGCATGTTGCTTGTGTTCAACATTTTGTGAGATACCTCAGTGTTGAGGAATGTAGCTGTATTCCTTACATTCTCATTACTGGGTACTACTCTACTTAAGGGTTTACCACAATCTATTTATATGGTCTGTTGTTGATAGATATTTAAAACGTTTCCATTTTGGGGTTATGCTGCTATGAATAAGCTTGCATCAGATTATCTAGGGCAGTGGTTTTCAAAGTGTGGTCCCTGGACCAGCATCACTGGCATTGCCTGGAAATTTGCAGGAAGATGCAAAGTCTTGGGTCCCACCCAGACACCCTGAATCAGAATCTCATAGATTGGGACCCAGAAATCTGTTTTAATAAACTCACCAAATGATTCTGATGCATGCTTATATTTAAGAATCACTCAAGGATAAGCAAACAGCTCTTTTTTGTAAACAGACTTTTTTAAATAAAGGTTTTATGTATTTATTTTTGGAGGGGAAGGGAGGGGAAAAGAGAGGGAAACATTAATGTGTGGTTGCTTTTCATGCACCCCCTAATGGAGACCTGGCCTGCAACCCAGGCATGTGGCCTGACTGAGAATCAAACCAACATCCCTTTGCTTTGCAGGATGGCTTCAATCAATCCACTGAGCCACACTAGCAAGGGCTGTAGACAAAGTTTTACTGGAATACAGTCACACCCATTTGTTTATATATTGTTTTGGCTACTTTTACATGATAACAGTGGAGCTGGGCAGTTCAGGCAGACTGTGAGGCCCACAAAGCCTAAACTATTTACTATCTGATAGCTCTTTATAAAAGTTTGCTCACCCATGCCTAGAGATAGATATCTAGCACTAAAATTGTTGGGCCATGGGGTATGCAAATATTCAGCCTCACAAAATGGTCATACCCCTTTATATCTCTCTGTAGTGTCCCACATCCTTTCATCACTTAGTAATTGTTGGGAATCGCCCTGCCTGGTTTCAGAAACTGTAACCCCCCATGGCTAAGGCTGAGTGAGAGACCTTGGGACCATAAGCCATTAAGGAGACAAAGCTTATCTCCCTGGCAGGGGCAATGCCTCTGCTCCCTTTACTTTACCCTTCTTGACCCCCAGTGCATGGCCAGTTAGCCAATGATGGGTAAGATTCCCCAAGGGAGGGATGACCTAAGACAGGTATGGTCACTGGGGGGCCCTCAGGGAAGACTTGGGGGGTTATAGCAAAAGGGGGTGATGGACTCTCGCCCCTCACCTTTGACATAGCCTGAGTCCTCATTCTGTCTGGGAGAAGTCCCCTAGTCTCTCAGCTGCCTTACTTCCCCTGCCTGACTTAAGCCTGAAACAATGACAGAGGGTGGTGCAGCACTGGCAGGACAGGGCAGGTTCCACCTGGGGCAACCAGGTCTAAGAAAGAATACATAAAATCCTGTGAAACCTGCTTTGCTAAATGCTCTCAATTTTCTGATAAAGGTCCAAGCATGAAATGAATTCGTTTCCCAAACAAAAGTTTTATAGCCCTTGAGCTAACTGACCCTGACTCAGAATAAGCCCTCCCAGTACTTTGTATGTTATCTATTGTTTGATCCTTACTGCCTGACAATGATTGATGAGCTTTACCTCTATTCCTGTGCAAACTGAACCCAATAAAAGCCCACTGAGGAAAACGCTCTTGGTCCTTCTCCTTTGAGAGATTGGCCACCTTTCCCCCACAAGCAGGTCATGTCTTGGTAGACTTACTCTCATCTGTGGCGGACAGGGGGCTCTGTGGGAAAAGCTCCCCCATATCTGGCACCCGGAACAGGGACCTGAGGATTCGGAACCTGCTTCAACCAGAGGCTACGAACCATCGTCACGGACGGCACGCCTAAGAGGACGAAATTAGCGCTTTCATCCCCACAGGGACAGGGCCATCTCTCAGTGAGGCCCGCAGGTGTGTTACAGATAAGAGGAAAGGTTTCTGTTGTGCTGCCTCTTGATCGGTTTTCTTCCCATTTCTTTCTCCTGCATCCTGTTCAGTCATTAGGAGCCTTGCTTTCTCTCTCCCAAGCATTTGCTGCATTTCGAGGTCATGGGTCAAGCAGTTAAGAGCCACAAGGGCGCTCACTGCTAGAAGGCACCTGTGAGAGGATAAGCTCGGATGTGGACTGGGTCAGAACACTAGGTTTCCACCAGCTGCAAGCAAAAGTCCACACAACGAAAGGCACACTGTAAAAGCATTCACAGTCCCATCCTCTGCAGCGTAATCCCCACCTAGGTTTAGGCTTGGGGAGGAGAAAGCAAAGACTTTCTCCTTTTATTAGCTTTTATGGCAAGGTATTTAAGAACATTTCAGCTTCCTGCTGAGTGCTGAAGAAAAGAGGCACTTCCTCCCTCTCGAGCATCCCTCCGAGCATCCCTCTGTGAGCAGGGGCCTTGCAGAGGTCTGGGGTCGAATCCCTGAGATGTGCAGGGGCCTCACAGGGAATTCTGCCTCACGTAATTTAACTTTCAGGCTCATCTGGGGAAGCACAATTTAAGGGTTGGTCACCCAGAGATTCAAGCCCTCCCAGCTGGTCTAGATGACTGGGAAGAGAAACCGAGACCCCCATAAGTGGGGTTAGGGTACCCGAAATATCCGGTACCCCTCTTCCTGTCTTCCACCAACAGCACATTTTGACCACTACACTCTCCTCACTAGCAAGAAACTGGATCTGAGGGTGCAGATGGACTGAAAGTGAAACTGAAACTGGTTTTGTAATTGCCACGCTTTCGACAGATGGGAGATTCTGCGGGCAAAGCTCCCCCACATTTCAGAAAAGATTCATTTATTTGTTAAGGAATTTCTTTAAAGGTTTCTACAAATTCTCAACCATGGGTAACGGGCTCTCTAAAGAACAAGAGCAATATTTTAGACAAATTCAACAGCTTCTTAAGGCTTCAGGATATCAGGTTAAAAAGCAGAACTTAATTAACTTGCCTCATATTGTTAAAGAATATTGCCCCTGGTTTCCTGAGAAGGGGTCTTTAGATTTGGAAATATGGAAAAAGTAAGACAGAAATTGAAGTGGCACCAAGAAAGCAGCACCCCTATCAGGCATCAAACTCTTTTTACTTGGGGAATGGTCAGGACTGCTTTGACGCCCCTTCATATTTTCAACCCAGATACCAACACCAAAGGGGCAGGAAAAAAATCCATGTCAGATGAGGGCAGAGGAAGCCACTTTTATCGCCTCCGATCAGGAAGAATTAAGTCTGCTCCTTGAAAACAAGGAGATACCTTCCCTGCCTCCGATTCCTCCCTCTGCTCCTAATTGGGAGGAAAACTTTAGGCTTCAGGATCCCCTTGTTGACTTTTCCACCCCAACAGTGGCAGCCATTCAAGCCCCTTTGCCAGGAACCACTACCATGCATCAGTGTCTTAAAGACGCGGGCAGGGACGGGGACTGGCAGTCCTTTGCTGCCTTCCCTATCGTTACTTGGCAGGTCAGACAAAATCTGGTGTGTGAATCTCTACCTTATGAAACGTTCAAAGACTTAAAGTATAAGGAC